TAAATAGAGGTAGCTAGGAGAGTCCAAATGAGGAGCGGTTTTCGGCCACGCGATTGTGATCGAACGATCTAGATGATCGAGAAGACTTAGGTGGGTTTTGGGCTAAATTGGAGGGGTGTTGGGCTGCAACACACACGAGGCCTTTTCGGTCCCTCGGTTAACCGTTGGAGTATCAAACGAAGTCCACATGATATGAAACTTGACAGGCGGTCTACCGGTAGTAAACCAAGGCCGCTTGGCAAGTCTCGGTCCAATCCAGAAATGTTTAATCCCCACACACGAAAGAAAGCTAGAAATGACCACCGGAGGAGAACGAAGCGCCGGAATGCAAAACGGACAACGGGGAAAATGCTCGAATGCATGAGACAAACATGTATGCAGATGCAATGCACATGATGACATGATATGAGATGCATGACAGCGACAACAACACACGGAGACAAAACCCGAACCCGAGGAAATAATATAACTCAACGCCGGAAACAGCAAGAGTTGGAGTACAAATAGGGAAAATAACATCCGGGGTGTTACACTCTTGATCCAACTAGGAACATCAAAACCAAATGGGATATCATTGAGTGGACTTCAGATGGCCATGCTATGAGTACACCATTAGTATCTGAATCTGCCTTGTATAATTAAGACACACTTTCTACATATTGCTGCTATATTGATACCATGTGATCACTTAACATGAGTGTGACTAGCCTATTTTCTTGCCTAACTATGTGATTGCATGTAGTAATGCATGGCTTCTCTATTTAAATGAAGAGTTGTGTTTATCATAATAATTATATACCACCGACTTGTTTCTTTCTGTTTATATAATAATGCAGTTCGTCTTCTACCATATGTTTTCTTCATTACATGTCTTCTAATTGTTCATCTTTTTTTCTCTTTCGATGACAAAATAACTTCGGGTTTCGAAATATTTGTACGCCATCATGGTCTTTATTAAGGGTGTTCAGGCCTTTTTTTCCTTCTATAAATTAGTAGTCTTCTATTCATGTTGCGAACCCCAATATGGCATCTCGCCATTCCCCACGATCCACATGTTAAGTATGGATTTATTTAATGATAATTTGATATCAACTGCCTTTTCTTCAGGATAATATAACACCTGATAAGGACCAAGAGAACAACAGAGATGCTAAGAGGTAACCTTTTGGGTTTAAGGATATAAACAACATGGCTTATGAGGATTTGAACTGTTGTTCTTTTAGTTCCACTCTTAAATGTTTTGGTTCTTGAAGGCCTGCACTTTCCTGGTGGAGTAGGAGCAAAATAATTCAGAGGCTTTAAAGCTGCTGCACTTTAGTAGTTAGGATCAATTCTCTGTTTTGGTTTGAAATGCTCCTCAATTCCTCCTATTTGATTGTATCCAAAGGACATGAAATATATTCAGAAAGCTTCATTTTTGTATTCTATGTGTGCTTTCAGTTAATCCTTCAAAATTTCATGATACATCGGGTTTATAAAGGGCTATCTCACAAGTACTTGATAGCAAGAGAATTACTCCATGACATTGCCTCAATTGCATGTAATGGCTATTCTCCAAAATAAGATTGTTGCTTACTTTGCTTACCACCTTCTCATTCCAGGCCCTCTAGCTATAGTCATGGAAAAGATGGTGTTCGGAGCTATATCTTGGAAAATATTTCTTGTCATTCCATTAAATTTCCGAGGTAACAATTTTCCATCGCTTCTAGACCATAGTGTGTTCCATAAATATCTTGCGTATAGTATTATTCATGTACTCTTTTCCTTTATTTAGATAAGGTATTTTAATGTTTCCTGTTCTCCATATGCAGTTAGTGTATAATAGCTGCTAACTTTTGCCTTCTGTACTTCTTTAGAAAATGCTGCTGAAGGTAAGAGTAGGACAATGCTAGATATAACTGATGCTAATATGCTGCTGAAGGTAGGAATATGATGGCATGCCCATAATATCAGGATGATTATGAGGCTGGTTAAGACCGGAAATAAATTGACTGGGTAACTAAATTAAGAAGTACTATCAACCTATCCTACTTTAGGCTATCCTCTTTCTTCTGTTGGAAATTGTCGTCTCCTTTAGGCTATCCTCTTTCTTCTGTTGGAAATTATTGTCTCCTATTCATTCTGTGAACTTCCGCACAAATGACACTCTGTTTTCAAGTTGTTCTTTCCATTTTCTTTAAGGAGCTCCTTCAGTTAGTATGCTTGAATATTACAAATCTTTAAATTTGCACTTTGTTCGTATATGTCTGACATGCCTTAAAGTTCTTGCTAGAAGGTTAGAAATGGAGGAGCTGTACATGGATGGCGAGAAGGCGGCCAGACCCGAGTTCACCTACCCCTACTGCTATGAGGACCATGAGGTCGCCTCCTTGTGCGCGCATGTAGAAGAGGAGGACCCATTGGAGTGGAGATATAGTTTGCACAATGTTCTGGTCCATCAAAGTATTTTAGATGTGCAAAAGAGTAGTGTCTTGGGGTAGAAAATTAATATTGATCTTGAAACCTCGAGATAGAAAAAAGAGCTTTTCACATTTGTTGTTGTTGAATCCTGACTAGCAATTATATAACACTCAGGCCTCAGTAGCAATTATGTTACCTTCTTATTTGTTCTCAAGTTACTTGCCTTCTTCTTTCAACCCATCTCTCTAAGAATTATAGTGCATGTTTTGTAGGGCAGGTTAAAGAACCCAATACAATGCTCTTTGAGTCGAGTTTTTTATATTCTCTGGCATGATTGTTGTGTGCACTTCTTACTGAAGATTATCCCAGTGTTATTTGCTTTCAGAAAAGAAAGAGATGGTTCAATGTGCGCTTCATATCATCACATCAAATGGAATAATCGAATAGGCTTATATATCATCATATCTGCACCCATAATCTATTCTATGATTGTTTACCTCTTTAGTCTACTGTTGTTAGATGATGAACTTATGCTATTTTATGCCAAGTAGTTAAATTTGTGCGCATCTTCTCATGGATCATACTTAGATTTTGCAATTTTGGCCCATAGGGCCATGCTAATTAGTGCTAGCCATGATCAGGAGTAAATTTATACAGATTTTGATTTGCATGTTATTTTGTCCAGCATGGAAGGCACCAATGGTGCTAATGTTATGCTTATTTTCTTTGATAAAAAAATATACGTACAAAATTTGCTTAAAGTTTTAGCTGTAACTGTATGTCAGCATTGGATAATTTCTTGGACTCATGTACAGTAGCTTGCATGATCTTTTGTTGGCATGCCAGGAAAAATTCTTTTCAAAACAAGCCCATAGGAAGTATAATCAGGCATCTTCAGCTGCAAAAGTTTCTTTCAGCAGGATTTCCATGTTGATATATCTGGATGGTCCGAGTTTCAAAAGATTTGCTTAGAGACGTTAGGTAAATCTGGCTATAATGGCCCTCCAGATCGTAGGAATGATCCTGCAAAATTCCTATGTATGCTTGCCTATGTCTCACTTTCACATGAATTTATACATACCTTCTAGCTCAATATTTGGGCCTTTTTTTGGAATGCCTATGCATTTATGACCTATATGGCTCTTCTCTTACAATCTGAAGAGTCCTTAACATTATTGATATATTATAAATGAATAATTGATAATAGAAGAGTTCTAGGTTTTATTACGTTCTACAATTAGCATTCATTGGGAACCAAGACGGCAATCCTCCAAACATTTCAGCAACTTCATATGTTCTTTTTGCACATACGCACAATAAAAAGTTTATAGAAACACATATTTTTTTAAATGAGACTCTATACTATCAAGTTAAAATGTGTACATTCATCTCATTGTACATAACAATCCACCGTGTTTCTTATTAAAGGGGATTAAACCATGCAATTGTTTTTCATCGCGGACATGGCTTTAGCGTGCCTCTGCTAATTTAGTGACCACTCTATGATTTTTATGAAGTTTGCAACTAAGGGAGATTAAATTTGTTGACATGTGTGCTTGCCTATAACAAAATCAACTGAACCATGGATTTCTTTTCATCGCTAACATGGAATCAGCAGGTCTCTGCGCCATTTGGCGTAACAAAATTAACTAAACCATGTTTTTTCCTTAGGTTTCTTATCATTTTCTCTTTTTTGCAGGAAAAATATGCATGGCCAGGTTTCTCATCATGATAACCATGTTTTCAAACTTGCTAAAAAAATATAACCATGCCAACTTTACTCTCTCATCATAGTGCCCATATTTTCAAACTGAACATATTCATATTATGCAAAGTTCCCCTTTTCCTAGACTATTATTTAACAACGTAATAAACATGTTTAAAAAATAGCATGATTTAGTTGAAGGTTCTTGCAGCATGAAACTATTTTCATCGACAACATGTCTTCAGCAGGTCTCTGCGCCATTTGGCGCAACGGTCAACTAGTACTATTAAAAGGGGATGAGGTTTTTGTCGGCATTCTAGGAACGGGGGTACCCAGACGTGCCTGCCTGCGGCCCACGGCGTGGCTCCGTCGGCGGCCTGGTACGGCCCAGCTTCGGTATCAACAACTCAAGACCCTCGCGAGGGGCTAAGCCTCGCGAGGCGGACAATGCCAAGGCCTCCATGGGGAGCAGTCTCCTCAAGCTGGCTCCCGAGGAGCGAAGATATCTATGCAAGGCTCACCTCACGAGGTTCGGATGACGTGAGTCATGACGACCAAGGCCAGGCGGGCGCCAGCGGGCGCAATGTACCAGTTTCTTCTTTGGTCCCAAGGATGCAAGCGCAGGCACGGAGTCCCGAGGAATTAGTCAAAGGTTTCCATTCCAGTGCAACAAGACCAAGACCGCTAGGACGACAGGACGGAGGTCATTGCTGAGCCCACCGCAGCGTCACCACTAGAGGCTTTTGTAGGCAAATACTACTTTTGTCAAGATGGCATGTAGTAGTTGTCTCCCTTCGAATTTGGCCGTTGTGGGATCCCTTCCTGCCTTCATTTGGGAAGAGGACCAAGGCCACTATAAATAGGACTTAGCCACCACCATAGAGGGGGACGGATCATTCAGGTCGCCCTCACACCCACTAGCTCATCGAGCACAAGAATGCACCTCCTCCTGAGGTTGTTCTCCCACTGTACTAGTTCATCTTCAGTCCCTCCAGGCTAATCCACCACAAAGAAGGAGTAGGGTTTTACACTGCAAGGTGGCCCGAATCTGGGTAAATTGATGTGTCCCTTTTCCGTTTAGTTCATCGAGCTAGGTCGTGAGATTAGCGAGTGGGCAGACTAGGGAGGACGAGTTCTTCGCATGCACCCCAGAGTTTGAACCTCTCAAGGGCCTGCGGAACCCGAAATCCGACATTTGGCGCGCCAGGTAGGGGTGCGTCGGAGCCTCTCTTCCGTCGGTCGATCCACCACCGCTCCACCACTTCCATGGCTGGCGCCTGTCATGCTCGTGCCAAGCGTCGGGCCGCCATCACTGCTCACGTCGCCCAGATGGCGCCTGTTGGCGGGCCTCCCCGTTGTTCCCCATCGCCTGCCGCCAACGCCGCTACCAGCTCGGCGGGGCACGAGCAGCAAGCTTCATCGTAGCGCCCCACCGTGCGGCGTGACGGGCGCACCGCCACCCCGTCTCTGACTCCAGCTGGTTTGTCGTCCCATGCTTGTCGCGGGCCGGCAGACGCGTAGGCTGCGCTGCTCATGGCACGCGAGCTCCTGCACTATCGCCCCTTCAACAACCTCTACAAGGACTGGCTGGACCGCATCGCCGAGCTTGTCAGCGCTACTGGGGGCTCTCCTGCACCGTCTCTCTCGTTGTCGTGATAGCCGCCTGGTGCGGATGACGTAGCCCATAGAGCACCTCCTCCACCTCCCTGTCAAGACGCCAATGTCGAGCCAAGGCGTGAAGTCCTGCGGCGTGACCCGCTGCGCAAGGCGCCAACATGTGAAGAAGAAAGCTGCCAGGTGGTCCAGCAGCCGTAAGAAGATGCTCGTGCACTCCCAGCACCGCCAGGTCAAGACCGCGCACGCCTATGGCGGTGGCGCGCGAGCGCCAAGATCAGGCTCCACCTCCACGACGGGCTCCTATGACCACAGCGGGTTGCCGGGCCTTCACTTTGGAGCTGGGCAACATCGTCTGGCTAGGGAAGTTCAAGCCCGACCAGACTCCGCACTACAACGGCACCCCCGACCCTGCTGAGTTCCTGCAGCTCTACGAGCTGAGCATCGAGGCGGCAAACGGCGACGAGAAGGTTATGGCGAACTGGTTTCCCATGGACCTCAAGGATGGCGTGCGCTCATGGCTCCTGAACCTACCCGCGGGATCGATCTCCTCCTGGGACGAGATGCGCGAGCGTTTCGTCGCCAACTTCCAGGGCACTCGCGACCGCCCACCGGTTGTGGGTGACCTGCGGTGCATCAAGCAGCATCCAGGGGAGACCCTGCCGAAGTACATCCAGCGCTTCAACAGCGTTCATCTCAAGATCCCCAAGGTGTCGGATGAGGCCATCATCTCCGCATTCACTGCTGGCATCCGAGACGTCGAGATAAAGGGGGAACTCTCCATACATGAGGACTTGTGCACGGCTCTGGAGATGTTCAACATGGAGACCAACTGTGCGAGAGCTGAGGAGGGACGCCTCTCCCTCCTCGAGCTCCCTGAAGCTGACCCAGAAGACAAGAAGCCAAGGCCAAAGATGTGAAGCGCAAGGGAGAAGCCGTGTTCGCGGCCAAACCGGAGATGAAGCGCGGCTGCGACCACTCGGAGTCATCCAAGGGCAGCCGCCCGTTCTGCGTCTTCCACAATGTGCACAGCCACAACACCGGCGACTGTTAGGAGCTCTGGGCCATCCACGACGGGCACCTCGGTCGACGACCCAAACGCAACGATCGATGCTACAGTCGTGGAGGGGGCCGTAGTGGAGGACGCTGGGACAGCTGTGACCCTCGCCAAGAGTGGCGCGATCAGCCTCGCGAGGACCGTTGGCAGGACCAGCTTCTCAAGGGCCATTAGAGAGACCAGCCTCATGAGGACCGTCCTTAGGACTTCGCCTGTAAAAGAACGCCCCTCAAGACAAAGGAAATGAAGCACACTCGCTCCCCTTCTAAAGGATTCGAGAAACTTTCCGCCAGGGCTTCGCCTGTAAAAGAATTTAATCCCGCCTGTACTAGGACTAGATCCGCAGGGGGAAGGTAGCCTTGCGCTTGGAGCTTGGTCAGCTAGGCGTGGGATACTAAGCATCTCTCCCAATCACCTTTTTCGGATCCATGAGGGCGGGAGGAAGAACTGGGAGCGCTAGCCATGTTTGAGTGGTTTCTCCTAGCAAGCTCTAAAGATTTTTCGCCTGGTGTATAATGGCATCTAAGATCCAATCCCTTAAAATAGACGCCTTTTTTACATCTAGGGTGTTATATGCAAAAATACCCTCACCTTTTGTATTCGTTCAACACGGGGAAGCAGAAGATACGAAGGCGCGGGAGCCAAAGGGTATGGCATTAAATGGAAAACCGGACATAACACTTTGGGTCAAGATGCTTTGAAGT